GTCATGTTATTAGCATCATCTGAAACGGGGGATCACTTGTTGCAGGACACGGAGGAGGACGAGGATGACGACGATGATGAGGAGGATGACGACGACGATGAGCAGGAGAAAGCTTCCAGTGAAGGCGACTCTTCCAGTGAGGAGGACGATGATGAGGACGATGATGACGTGAGTGTTTTCTCTGCTCGGATACATGAGATAGTTGCAACCAGTGGTTTTTGAGTTTTTGCTGAAAATGCGTGTATACGTTTCTTTTTGTTTAAAGAAGGAGGACGATGACGACGACGATGAAGACGACGAAGAGGACGACGAAGCAGACGACAAGGAGAACAAGTCGGAGGACAGCAGCAGTGAGTCGAACTCACAGGGGTCGTCAGACTCTGATTCAGACTGAAACGCGCCATCACTGACAAACTGAGCAGCGCTGAGCTGAGCCAAGAGTCCAGGGAGCTCTGCCACTGTGCCAACCCTGCTCTCCTCCCACCACCAGAGGGAGCCCCTGCATTGCCTCATCCATTTCACACTCACCCACTTTATGTTGCTGCGCTGGCGATCTGTACAGAAGGAGAGACCCTGCCCCTATCTGGAAATCGGTTCAATTCCATCCCCAGCGCAGTAGTCATCTCACAGCACGGGCCACTGACAGTATGCCAAAAACAGCATCCCACTGGTTTGGTGATGTCATGAACATTTCTGCACTGGTTTCAATCTTGACTTGCAGCTTCAGTGGTTTAAGGTTAGAGTTTTAATGTGTTGGGTAATCGATTACCCGCTCAGTCTTTTATTTTTGTTATTCCGATGATTAGTTAAGGACAGGTGGCTTGAGTTGTGAACAGGCTGAGCCAAAGAACACAGTACGGTGGATCACCTGAAGGCGGGCAGGGGGGAGGGTATGCGGGGTACTGGAAAATTGCACTCTACAAAAACTTTTCATTTAATCTTTTTTTTTTTTTTTTTCCTTCACAACATTGTTGTGTTGTCCTCGACTTACGATGTAGATTTTATGATTTGGTTCTTAAAGAGGTGGTATTTTTTTCAGGAAAAACAAAAAAAAAATCAAGCCATTATGAATGTCTTTTTTTTGTCGCTGGAAAATTTGAGAGTTTGTTACATACCCATGTTTTTTCATTTGAAATTTACACTGCCTATAAAGTATTCAATCCTTGGATTTTTCATGTTTTGTTGCTTTTCAACATTACAAAGATTCAATTGGACCTTTTTCACACACATCGGGATGTAAGGAAGCATAGCAACATTTATTGGAAGTTAACAGACTGCATCTTTTGGGGCGTGTTGTAAAGCTTTTCAATACAGAACTGACATTGACTTCATCTAAGCCTTGGCGTGATGGAATATTCCCTCAGCTAGATTCTGTCTAGATAAAACACAAGACTGCGATTGCATGCTGGTGCTTTTCATGTCTACCTAGCTGTTTGGGCTTCCAGATTTAGAACGTAGTGTCAAACTGTGTAGACAGTTTAGTTTTATATTGGGACTTAATTTAGATTGGTTTATATGGATTGTTTTAACTTGGCCGTAAAAGAGTTATAAAGCCGGATTAGCCGTTATGGTTCCAGTATAAAACATAAAGGTCCAATGGGGGTTGAATACTTTCCAGGACATTGCACATTGCCATGTGTCTGTCACTGAAAAATCTCATTTATCCAAACTGACATGTTGTAGTCGATCAGTCTTAACAGTTCTTACTCAGTTAATTGAGCAGGTTGTAATTATTAATTGCAACACTTGTCCATATTTAAAGCTCAGTCTGACTCTGTTTTTAAAAGCAACGTTAAATATGCTTCTTTTCTTTTTCTTCAGAACTGTCGCTTTCCATTTCATTTACAGTTCAATTGCGATTTGCTACCAGGTTTGTTTTAATTGTGAGCAGTTGTGTTTCGATCTATCTGGACTCGTCGTGGGTGTTGAGCTGAATGGACTCGTCCATTTTTATTTCCGAGTTTTAATAGTATTGACTGTAATCCACATGGGTTCTGTTCTGATGCTTATCCCAAAAAAAGCGTGCACTTATTGTAAATCTGTCCCTCTGTGTGAGTTTGTGTGCATGCATGCACAGAACTTTGTATATATGAGGGCGTTTGCGTGTTTCTTTGCTTTAATGTGTGTTGTTTTTTGCCGTTTAGTTGCATACCATGACGTGACAGCAGTGTGCATGTATGTGCCTGTGCGGGGACATCATACCAACACCATGAATGTAGATATTGTTAAATCTTTTATTTTATTTTATTTTTTTCTCCAAAGGTCTTTGCGGTCATGTCATTGAAAACCTAAAAATGGGCTTATGTGACTGTGTTTTTGGGTCTCCAGACAGATTAAGTACATGGCAACTATTAATAATCTGTTAATAATGGGTTTATTTTGACCATTTTGAATCTCATCACAGACTGAAATAAAACCAGCGTGGACTATTTAAATAACTGGGGGAGGGAAAAGCAAAGCATTTCCTTTTTGAATGACGAAAGTTTGTAAAAGGGAATTAGGAAACTGAGTTGCCAGTGGACTTGGGGTTAAAAAAGACAAAAAAAAAAAGCAACTGTAATTTTCTGTAAATACTGTTTTTGTATCAAGTGCTTATTGTTTTGTTAGTACTTTTATTTTGGCAAGCCCTCATCTGTGGTTTCAAAGGCCAGTGAGTCTTTCACTCACGGGGGAGAATTTTTGGTTATATTCGCCTGTTTTAGTTGTTTCTTCTCTCCCTTATGTTGGTTTATAGAGATATCTAAAACAGCAAAGCTTTACAAGTTTGTACTGCTGACAAATTGACAGAATTTGATGTTTTATATAGCTGAGGGTGTTCTTATGTCCTTGTAGTTCAAGTATTTGGGCAAATAAATGACCTTTAACAGTTAAAAGTGTGGATTTATTTAATATGTTGACAGCACACAAATCAGTACTTGGTTACAGTTTTAAGAATTGTTATATATGGACCTGAATACATTTTAACCAAACAGGATCCAGGGCATGGATCACACGAAGCAAAAAATGCTGAAGAAAAGTTTTTGTTGCACTAAAATTTTTTACCTGTAGCAGTTTTGATTGGGAGGAACGGATACAGCATAGCGTCATGATATTTTGCATGCCAGTATATCAACATTCTGGAAACCCTGCAGACAAGGGGGCTCATCTCTCTTGCGTGAAATCGACTCAACCGAAAAAACATCCAAGAGCGGACGCTTAGACTTGACAAAGCTACCTCCTACTTCAAGGAAAGCTAATGGCTCAGTCGCATAAGTAAAATAGGACCTCTACAATAAAAAAAAGTGTGGCTGCCTTTTGATTGTATTGAATTTTTTCATATTCTGCAACTGATTGCAATTTGTTCAGATGTCAGAGTATTGCACAGGTCATCTGACAGGTGGCAACATTTCTGCAAACAGTTACAATCTGACTTGTAAAAAGGTGGAAAATTGCAAAATGTTAAAAATGGCAAAAAAAATATTGGATGTAGAGTGAAGTATTGTGATAATATCATATCATGGGGTGGCCAGTGATTCCCAAATGTAGTTCTGCTACACATGACTAAACTGAAGCAATACTCAAACCTTGATGTGATGTTGTAAAGCAGGATCCCCCACAAGGAACTCATCATGTCAGATGTTGCTCTGGTATCAATATCAAGTTCCACAAAATGGAAAAATGATCTCTAGTGAATCCCTGACTTTAACCAAATCCAACACATAAAAGATAACCTGGAGGGCCAACTCTTCACCTAGCATAGCTGGGATGGAGAAAATCCAAAATCTTGTGGGTTTTAAAAGTAGCTGGAGCTAGAGTCCAATGATCCTATGCTGGTGTAATGTTAAGGTGTCCACATACTTTCTGTCATTTAACAAAGTTCAAGTGATGACCTCATTCAGCCCGCCCAGGCTCTACAAACAGATTGTAGATAAAGAGCGAAAATCTAGCGTTCATTTATGGATGTCTGAGCTGAAAGAAACCTCGCTGTGAAAGCGGAAACACCCGAACTGTACCTTCAAAGTAAAGGTATAAACGCGCTCTTCAATACCTCACTAATCTCCCCACAGTTTTTTCTGTTTTGTTTTGTTTTGGGGTTTTTGTATTTTTTTATGCAGGGTGCCATATAACCAGAAAGTCACTAAGTTTCTTCTGTACTCAATTTTTAAACACAGTTTTAAACATAATTTTATGTAATTTATTAGGGCCTTCGATTTTTTTTGTTTTGTTTTGTTTTCTTAGATCCGTTTAAGGTGTTTAAGTATAGCTGGTCTAGGTGGCGCTAATTTTGTCTGCTGCTGGCCCAGGGGCCAGAATCAGCCCTACGAAAATTACAGTCTGGCCCACTGGACTGCTTTGGAATATGTGATAGAGGGCATAAATGTCAGACTGTACATTTTATTTTCATAGCTTTTACCGTTTTCCCCTACTTATAAAGCTGTCCCTTAAGCCAAAATAATTAAATAATATATGAACAATAAAGTTTTTCTTCACAATTTACTGTCAATTTCTAGTTCAAATTGGCTGTCTGTGCCCTGTGATGTTAAATGAGCTCGACAGCTTATAAAATAAATATGAAAATTCATTCTGGCAAGTAGCTAGCTGTTAAAGATATGTGGCTAAATAAAAATGTTAACAATTGTTTTTAAAATGTTGTTCTTGTTCTAGTTAGAAATTAAAAGATTGGATTTTAAAAAATTAAGATACATTTCCTCATCTTGCTTGTTAATAAAAAAATGCACATTAATATAGCAAATAGTGACAGAAAAATTAAATGAGTCATGATGTGTATTGGTATTTTTGAATGTAGCAACATTACTTTACATTACATTACCTTACATTACATTATTGTATATATTTTACAAGCATTTGAATGATTAAATTAGCTTAATCTCTATCCTTTTTAACGACATGGACTGTATTCTTGTTTTGTTTTTTGGGTTTTTTTGTCGAGTTCCAGCAACTCGCTTCACATTTGCAGGTTAAGCTTTTATTTTTATTGCTACAACCGGAAGTTAGCTGGTTTATATGCTTTGTCGGCCTCCTCGCTCGTACCGTCAGTTTTGCTAACCGACACCTGCGACAACAAACACTTTTATCGAGCTTTTTGTTTTGCCCGTGTTATTAAAATGGCTGTAGCTGAAGACCGGGCCTCCTGCTAACGCGTTTTATTTGGATGGACTCGGTCATGTTGCCTCCTTCAGAGAAACTGCCCGGTTCAGGCTGAGTTTTCGGCATGACAGGGTAAGAGGAAACAGTTTGAAATTAAAACACACCTAACGTCGCTACACTGTTTCTTAGTATTTGAATGCCACAAAGGCCTTTCCTTCAGTTCATATTAATAGAGCAGTGGGGCCAGCAGATATAAACCATGAAAGGTGATATTAACCGGAGTTAATTTGCTAAGGAACTGTCACTACCTGCGTTTAGGTTCTACTAACGTTAGCTAGTCGTTCGTGAGGTAGTTTAAATGAATGTGTTTTTGTAAAATGTAGCTATTTTTGAGCTTACGTGTTGGATACATAGGTATCTTGTTTATCTCAATCAACCACATGTAATGTTAAAGCTGGTTAGAGTACATAGTTAAAACCACATTTCTCTCTGTGTGTGTGATGTCCAGTAATGTGAAAATCAGGATGTTGCTGTAGCTGATATGTGCTGATATGTTCAGTTCAGGCTTGGGGTTACAGTGGTCAGATTGTACCGCTAATTATCATATGTTTACATGAAACTTCTGTGGTGATCTTGGACATGACCAGCGATTATTTCTTCTTTTCAACAGGATGAAGATAGACCTGGAACAAGTGCTAATACATATTTTTAAAGTATGTTATTTGCGACTGGTATCTTGAATCTGTGTGCCTTACATCTGTTGCCTTTCAAGCATGCTGTGATTTCACTTCCATCCTATCTCTTTTAAGTCCTCAGATATCAATCTTATTACCTTGCTGTCAAGACTTCCAATAGAGATTTTCAAATGAAAATGGAGGATATGCCCCTCTCAGGCCCAGACAACACCAGGCTGGAGGTGAGGTATTACCTGTGCATACCGGTACCCATGCATTTATTATAATAATAATAATAATAATAATGGATTGCATTTATATAGCGCTTTTCGGGACCCCTCAAAGTGCTTTACAATTCCACTATTCATTCACTCTCACATTCATACACTGGTGCAGGCATGATACAGTTGTAGCCACAGCTACTGACAGAGTCTGCCCCAGGGGCAGATACCTAACATTGGGTTTGTCTTTGGTGTTACACTATGTTTTTGTTGTTGTAGGCCCTGGCCCATGACATCTACTCTGAGCTGGTGGAAGATGCCTGTTTGGGCCTGTGTTTTGAGGTGCATCGAGCTGTTAAACAGGGCTATTTCTTCTTGGATGAAACGGACCAAGAGAGCATGAAGGAGTTTGGTTGGTGCCGTTGGATCTGGTTTCTATTCTGTCTGTCTTCAATGTGTTTGCTTACTGGTTTTTTTTGTTTGTTTGGGTTTTTTTCCCCTCCAGAAATTGTGGATCAACCAGGAGTGGACATATTTGGGCAGGTGTACAATCAGTGGAAGAACAAAGAGTGTGAGTGTCCCAACTGTAAAAGATTAATAGCAGCTTCTCGCTTTGCTCCACATTTGGAGAAATGCCTTGGCATGGGACGCAACAGCAGCCGCATCGCCAACCGCAGGTCGGTCAGTGAAGGTCATAAAGCAGAAATTCCTGCAGTGATCCAAAGTTATACATGAAATTCTAATTCAATTATTTGATCTTCTTTTAACAGGCTAGCCAGCAGTAATAATATGAGCAAATCAGAGAGTGATCAGGAAGACAATGATGACCTTAATGATAATGACTGGTCGTATGGGGCTGAAAAAAAAAGTGAGCACTTGAGTGATTGCATTGTACTGAGAGATGAAAGAAATCTCCAGGTGGTTACTTAAAATAAACATTTCTTATTTCCTTTTTACAGCCAAGAAGAGAAAGTCAGATAAGGTATGTTTTTTTTTTTTTAATTACACATTGTTAGTATAAATGAATTTTTCATGTGTATCATAAGGTTATTTAAAATCTTAACATTTTTGTTTGTGCAGAGTCAAAATTCCCCAAGAAGATCCAAATCCCTGAAACATAAAAACGGTGAGTCTATCGGGGTTTTTTGTTGTGTTGTTTTTTCAAGTTCATAGCTCAGAGTTGTAGGAAACAATTCAAAGTGAAATGCAAATATTTTTCTTTTAGATGATGATGGAATTTATAGTTCAATTTTGATTTGCTTTTAGCGTTCTCAATCTGTTACATGAACGGTGTGTTTGTGCGTATGCATTCCAGGTGAGCTTGGAAGTGGCGTCGGTGCCGAATCTTACAAGGTGACAAATCCTCCTGTGATCAAATTGATTGCTAGGCTATAAAGTATTGTAAATTCTATACTCATAAAGGTTTATGTTTTGTTTTTAAATTCAGTACAACTATAATACTGGCATCAATTATGAAACCTTGGGCCCCGATGAAGTCAGATCCCTTCTAACGACGGTGAGCAATTTTCATGAATCTGCCCAAGCATGTCATTTTTTTAATGTTCCAACTACTGATTTAATTATATAAGTGTGAATCATTAAAGTATTGTGTGTTTCTACAGCAATGCGGGGTGATATCTGAGCACACAAAGAAGATGTGTACCAGGTAATTACTGCCTAAGCCTCTGACACAAAGATTAACTTGTAATTAAATCTTTTCTGTTTTGAGAAAACAGCCAGCTGCTTTTGTTAGCTCCCTGCAGCATAGTTTCTGGTAACATAACACCTGGATTCATGTTGATTTAACCATCTAATTGAATCTAAATTCTGAGGTCAGCGTCCTCATACCTTGAAATCTTAATTGCTTAGAACTGTTGTCTGCAACGGAAAGTCACGGCTGAAAATGAAATACATAAATATAAGGAAGTTGTTTTTTTTTTAATTAAATAAGAAAATTGTGTATGATCAAACTAACTCAAGGGAACACAAGTGGCAACTCATAATTGATCTCTTTTAGACCTGTTCTTTTTCTCCAAGGTGAAGAGCCAAATCTTTAACGGTCTTAACAACAGACTTATAATAATGAGGAACCCATCAGTGACTAACCTCTAATAGTTTATAACTCATAACGGCCCATTATCAGTTGGTCTCTGACTGTGTCCCATCAGTCCGTCCCACCTTCCCTGCTGGCCTGCAGGCAGGGAGATGTGTAAAACTATGTGGTGGGTGTGGGCGGGCCATTAGTCAGGGATGTATAATGCCACCTTGTGTCCCACCAGGTCTCAGCGATGTCCCCAACACACGGACGAACAGAGGAGGGCCGTCAGGTTGTTCCTCCTGGGGCCGTCCGCGTGAGTGTACCCTGACCCGTTCCTCACCAAAACCACTACCTAGAGTGCACTTGACAAAAGTCATGTTTGAGTTGGCGTTGTTACCCTCATCGTGCAGGTGTTTGCTCAAACAGTTCACTGTTTGCTGATATGGTTGCCTTGGCAACTCTGGCAGAGGGACGCCTTTCTTGCCAGGAACGACTTTTATGCAAAAGCACTGTTGTAAATGACTTGTAAAGCCATTGTTAACAGAACTGAACGCTGCATGAGTTTTAAACACTGGGAAAGATCGATAGACTACATCAGGAAGTTTTTCTGGTCCTGTGAACCGGAACATGACACCAAAATCTGTGGTTGTAGCACCCTCACTTGTAACTATTTGTTATCATAAACACCACAACCTATCGGCCTTGCTAAAAATAATAATAAACCCACTCCATACATCTTAGTATGAAGGTATGGTTTAACAGCTGAGATGAGTAGACTGCGCTTAAAGAATTACCTTAAACAGAAATATCATCTTAGTTCATGTATAAAGTATTTCATCTACAAAGTGACAGAAATGGTGAAAATGGTCGAGTATAATTTTCCAGGCCTTGTCTTTATGCACACGGTTCAGAAAATGAAGCTATTTATCTTGTTATTGATAGAGGCAATAATAAGCAGTTTTTGATGTTATTGTTTTTGCTTGAAATTTGATTCTTTTAATTCTCGAAACGTTTTCTTTTTTCCCCCAAGTATTCACCTAAAATCAAAAACCCAGTGAGAGGGAGTCATGTATAAAAAAAAACAAACAGTGTGGGTCAGAAAGAAGGACGTGTTAATAAGCACACAAATATATATTTGTCCAACAACTATAAGCAAAATGTTGGGCAAATGTGCATTAGTGTTGTAAAGTTATTATTAAAAGTAATAGTGGTGTTGTTATTGGTATTATAGAGATGGAAAAGAAACTTAACAGATATATAGACATTTTGTTTGTGTGTGGCTTTGTCTAAAACTGTGTTACTGTGTCTGTTTTTTATGTCACAGGCCAACGCTGCCTGATGCAGATGCTGTGGAGACTGACAGCTTTGACATTCCAGATGCACAACCCTTAATGAGCCGCCTGCAGTGGGAGGACTCTGATATTTCACCTACTGATTCTGCTTCATCTAAAGCCAGTAAGGAAGGGACACTCATTTAGTAATTATGACATGTAGGTTTTATCAGTAAAATACATTCCTGTTCTTGTTGCAGGCACCAACCATTCAGATTCTCGGAAGCCCAAGAAAAAGAAGAAGCCATCTCTTCCATTGAACAGTGGAGGAGGAGGAAGTGGGAGTGGAAGCCTGGCTGGAGGCGGCGGCAGCAGCTCTCAGAGTAATATCAGTATATCGACCAAAAAAAAGAGGCCCAAACTCTCAGCACCTCCTATTTCAAGTATCTATGATGATTTAAACTAGCATAAGCCAATTTGTCAGACCAGCCCTCGCCTCCTCTTATTAAGTCCCTTCTTTCACACCAAGCTTTAAAGGTCTGAGCTGAATGGGATGAAACTTGACTTAGAAGTTCCTTAGTAAATCATTTGGCCTTGATAACTGAGGCATCTACATTTAAAGATTTGTCCTTCCTAAATTACGAACACAGAGTTTAAGAATTGCGGTCAGAGTCCAGTCAGAGTATCTGCAGTAATGGATCGGCTCACTTCCAGTGTAAAACAGAATTTACTTCTGCTATACACGTAATTTACGACATATATTTGTCTTCAGCTGATATCGAGGAGGACTTGATGCATTCGGTTGACGCTTTTTGTGGCTGTTTCAATGAGGAGCTTCCACACGACACTGCAGAAAACTTTCCAGCCAATTAAAGAAAATTGTAAAGTAGTAAAAGTAGATTATTTGAACCAAAACATAATTTTATGCAGATATAGAAATAAAGAACATGCTACCCATGTTGCATGTCATCCTCGCTCTTGCAGCCGATCCTTTGAAATAAAGGCAAAAAAAAGCTTAGAAATAAATCTTTGAAAAAAAATGAACCACTTGTGTGTAAATGATATCTCCTGTGCTCTAAATTTTATTTTACGGAGGGCCTTGATGTTACAAAAGACATCAATAATGAGACCACCCGGATTCATACAAAGCACTGCAATGTCCTGGAACTGAAAAAAACTTTTCGGACCACAAGCTGGTAGTGAAAGTTGAGATTTAAGTTCTACTTAAATTGAAAGGCCTTAAATTCTAAAACCTTCAGATACTCTGTCGTTGGTGAGCCTGTGACCGGCCCCTCTTCTTGGACTTTGTGTTCAGACTCGGTCGTAAGGACACGTTCAACACTTGACACACATATACTGGAGTACTCATCGGTGGCTTTTTAATTCTAGCATTGTATTGCACAGTCGTGCGTGTGTGTGTGTGTGTGTTTGTGTGTCTGTATGATGATTTGCATTTAGCGTGAATGTCAATTTTTGTGTGCGTGCGTGCCTGTGTGTAAGTGTACGTGCGGTTGATGTGTGTGTAATCATTCTTTTCACAAAACTATGCATCCTAGAATGTGACTCTTGTGAAAGTATGTGTGTCATTTGGAATATTTAACTCGTTTACATTAACGGTATATTTAAGTTTGTATTTGTCACTGCCTTTGTGGTGATGTGCATATTACTTGTGTGTAAATGCAGAATTTTGATATTTGATGAGCCAGTAGGCTTTTGGGGCACATGTACAGTACATGTATGTTTGACATAAATCATGAATTCAACGTTTATTTGTTTCCTTCTTAGAAAGCCTTGTCCTGTGTGCTTTCACTCACTTTGCTTGTAGATTACATTGTAAAAGTAGATCAGCCCAGCAGTTCAGCTTGTTGTTAATGACCATGAGCGATAAGGCTGCATTTTGTAAGCTTGTAACCAACAGTGTCTGACGTAAATTATGAGGTTTATTACATATTTTAGATGCCAAAGTCCTGTACTTTTCAGGTCTTGGAGAAGAATTAGTTTTTCTTCAAATTTGGAAATTGCTCACCCAAAGACTTTATCCAGTTTTTATAGTGGAATCTGAAGTGCAAATCCAGGATGCTTTATTTTAATCAGGATTTCATAAAGAGGGAAGGTAAAGTTGACCTATTCTGTTTATTCTTATTTTATTTCATGTATATTGAATGTTCATATTAAACATGAGGAAAGTTGCCAATGTGCCAGGCTTAAGCACCTGCGATTCATCAAGAGGGGATATCCTCAAGCACACAGCTGTCCCACCCACCTATAGTTAGAACCTTCTGTTTGCAGGAGGCAACCAACCAGAAATCAAAGGAGCTAAATTCACTTATTTCAGATGGATGAAATGTGGGGCTTTAACTGTCAGCTGTTAATCATACGAAGAATAAGAATGTGGAGTTTGACATGAGGTCAACCCATTGATTTACTTAATAGTTTAAGTAACCCCTGTTTTAAACCAGTCATTTTTATTTATTTTTTCATTATTTGCACTTTTCTGTTGCATTTTCATATATACCTTTCATGAGGTTGGACATTTTTGTGACTTTCTGTCTCACTAAAAGGCCCTCGGAGAGAGAACTTTGGCACTTTTGTCCAAACTCATTTGTTACATTTTTTTAACATCAGCGTAATTGGCAGTTTTGAAGATACAATCATGTCTCTTTGCGAAGGCATTCTCGATGCTTTTGGACCAGCTATTTCCAAGAAATAGAACAGAAAGTGATCTCGACATCTGCAACCTCAGAGGTGCTGCATGTACCAGACTGTTTGGTGGATTAATGTTTGATGCTGATTAAGGGTTCACATTCACCAGGTTCTCTATTTTTAAGCATTTGTTCAAGTTTTGAGGGTCATGTAATACAATCCTTAAAGTCAAGTGCTTTCAATTTTCTCTCACAATCGTGACAATCTGCCAAAGCCCGATTTTGTATTTTTTCCCTATATTTCTGACTGTGCCCGGTTGAATCTGTCCAGTAAAATCTTGCTATGTGCACTAATGTTAAATGAACTGTTAGAGATAATTTGGTAACTATGATCCAATGGTCATGGCACTGTTTGTGAATAAGGGTAAACTGCTTGTGGTTTATTTGTGGCTCTTTGTGTATTTCTGTGCTGTAGAAGTGCAATGACAAAAGAAAGCAATGTTGTGACTTTCCTTTTTTTCCATGCACAAGCACAAATAAGTGCATGTGTGCACAACTTGTATCTGAACACAATGTGATACATAAATTATTTTTCTTTTTTTTTTTCCACTGCCATGCATACTGATGTTTGTATATAAATAAACACCAATACCATGAGACTGACTTCTTTAAACCACAAAGAGCTAGTAGAAGGGGTTTGTTTTGAAATGCTTTAATAAGAGATGCAACTGAAACCAGAGCAGTCTGACAGCAAGTGCCAGATGCACATTGATTCATTGTATAATTTTATTTACACAAAATACACAATATATTTACAGTATCTTTTCATAATGTTTAAATTAAACTACTCCTACGTAGCATAAAAGAAACAGTCTTGCACTGAGGCAGTTGTACAATTTATATTTGCATACAGCGAGCTCGAGTCATTCAAATAATACAATGATGGCAAAGACTCAAACGGGCACACGCAGCACAACAGTGAATGGTTCCAAATGATTTTAAGCCATTTTTTTTGTTGGTTTTCTTAAAGGTACAGTATGTAAAATCTTACCACTAGATGTCAACAGATAGAATTCAGTTGACAGCAGTCTATTTTGCTACCCCTCCCAATTCAAGTGCATAATGCTAATTAAGGTGGCTGCCGTTCACCTGTAGTAAGTGTAGACTGTGTTTACTGTACATTTAAAACACAAAGTCATCTCAAAGAATAGCGCACAGGAAAGCATAATGAGTATTTTACAGCAATAAAGAGCCATGAGATGAAGCCAGTATTACAACATGGTCTGAACCACTACATCTTTGAATAGAAACTAAATTAGGTTTTAGTTAAAGCAAATGCTCACTCACTGCGTTTTTTTGTTTTGTTTTTTAAACTGCACTTACACTCCTCAGTCACTCATGATTTTATCTTTCTACATGCACAAACAGGCTCACTTAACCACCCACACGCTCGCACAAATGCACGCTCTCAAACCAGCTGCAGCATCGGCACCGAGGCCCTTTATGGTCAAGTACATCTCTCCAGACACTCACCCACTGCTGTACTTATTTTTATTTCACCTCACAACATTCAACTATAAGTGTGTGCCCTTTCTTTGCCTTTTCAGCGGCTGTGCATCCCAAATATCAAAAAGCTAAAGAACACAGTGACTCCCACAAGGGAGATGGTCGCAGGGGCGGTGAAGAACTGCCTGTAGTTGAGGCGGAAATACCACACGACAGCAAGAATCACCACAAAGACAGGCACCACCAGGCTGCCGGTGCTTATGGCTACACCTGCCGCCCTGAATCCACTGGAGACTCCGGCTCCTGCTCCTGCTCCGGACTGAGCCCCCTCCTCTGGACTGGAATCATGCAGGGTCTGAGAGATGTGGCAGTGGATCACGCTGTTGTCTGTGATGTTTAGGGATAACAGAGTCCTCTTGGGATCCTGCAGCAGCTGGCCTTGGAAGATTAATTTAATTTGATGCTCCCGCCCTGAGAAACATTTGCTGGAAAAGAAGGGAGATGAGAAATTAAAGCAGTTATAAGGCGCTTTCTTTCCAAGAGTTAGACAAGAAGATCAATACCACTCCTGTACAATCAATCCAAGGTTTCAGACATAAGCCAATTAGCTTACTTAGCAGAAAGACAATAAAAGAAACTTTTGGCTCTGTCTAAAGGTAATAAAATATGCCTTAAATGAACATTTGTAGCTGACTGAGTAATATGTGGCATCTTGTTTAAGCTTTGCAAAAAACAAAAGACATGAAAAGCAACAGTAAGGTAAAGCCTTCCAGTGTAAGCCAGCAAACTAAGTATAAGCTCTTGATAAATTAACATTGCAAGGCGGCACAATCTTTATGCTAAGCTAACTTCCTAATGGGTGTATCATCTGTGAATTATTCTGATATTCTTGAAGTTTGGTGGATTTTCACAGTTATTTTACCAACCTTTTTAGTATCCCAACTGTATCTTGTGGCTCTACAACAGCCACCTCCTCTGTGTCATTCAAAAACTTCAGACGGACAGAGATGGAAGTGGTACTACTGGTGATGGTAGGAGAAGAGGTGGTGCTGGTCAAAATTGGAATAGGCTTTGTAGCCTTTTTCACTTCCTCCTCCAACTCCTCCTCCTCATCCTCCTCATCAGCCTCATCATCCTCTCCATCAGAAGTGACAAGCAGTCTTCCAGCCTGTGGTTGTTTGCTCTGTATGTCCAGCAACAAATCTGTCCAAACCCCCTCGGCTCCCTCTACAGTCCCCTCACCCTCTCCTCTGTCAGCTGCCGGCTCTCCTTCGTCCGGCTTGTTCTCCTGAGAAGGTGGAGGCGTCTGCTGCTCAGGGGTGTCGGCACTAGCTGACCCTCCACCGTAGTTGTCATGGCCTCCCAGTCCAATCAGAGAGGCATGAGCACCCACAGTGAGGATCGTGCCCAATATGTGGTCTCCCCGATCAGCCACATGGGTTGAGAGCCAAGCCAAGATGAGGGCCAAGAACAGAAGCAATACACCACCTGCTGCTGTCACCTCATCCTCCATCCCATCCAACATGGTCAGTGCACACACTGCCATCTCTGTCCTCTAATCCTGAAGAAAACATAGGTTTAAGACATTTCGTAGCATACAATTTCAAATGTGGCTCCAAGTGCTGTAGAGCCTGTTCAACAGGTTGCCTCATACTGCATGTGATAGTATGATCTAAACAAACTGATCTAAACTTTCTAAGATAACATTGTAGACGTACACAGAACTTCCTACATGAAAACAGGATTTTTTTTCCTGCAAATATGTGGTTTGTTGTTATCCCCAGAGAGGTTTACTTTTTTCCCCTCAAATAAAAATCGCCATAATAACAAAAATAGTTTTTTAAAACCACTGTTAATCAGGGTTCATATACTCAAGCCTAAAATATGGGTGGTATAACCACTCAAAGATCAATTTTGAGTTAGGAATAAGTTTGGGAATTGTCCTGTTATTTCTGGTCATTGACAATTTCTATTATAATCTGGTGTTTATTCTTTGAAGGAAAACCAAAATTAGCACAGCAAAGACACTGAATGAGGTGGTAGGCATGACAGAAGATTATCCAAAGGAAGCCAGCTGTAATACTGTTGCGTTTGTTTTTTCCCCTGCATAAACCTTTTGGCACTCTACAGAAAGGTTTTAGCCTAAGCTAAAAAACAATGTGTGCATTGTTAATTTTTTTCCCCCTTTTTTTTGCCAATTTTTCTTCTATTTATGAACTGATAAATAACAAAGCAAGAGGGTGGTTGTTATATAATGTATCAGAGACTCATTATCCTTACTTAATGGAAACTTAGACTATAGTCACACATCCATAGTTGACGCCATGAAATACACTAGCATATTAATTTGTTTTTATTCGTTTTTTGTTTTTTGTTGTTTTTTTTTTGGGGGGGGGGTTAAACAAGCAAGAAGGCTCCTCTACATCTGTTCAGTTACAGCTAAACAACGTCAATTGCACTCTGAGATCTCTACAGGTCTTACAGGACACTGAACAAGACAGCCATATGGTAGCACTGGGTTTACTTAACTGTGACAAACTACCGTCCGTCTCATAGCAATTTCTCACTCCAGGTTTACTGCATCAAACAATTACTTTATTACCGACATATCTATG